TTATGTATCTGCAACCCCCGGAGTCCACCCTCTTTCCCTACCCCTCCCTCTTCCGTTCTTTCCCCCCCCCCCCTGTCCGAAAAGCCCCCTCTCTTTTTACCCCCCATTCAAACCTGTTTGGAATAAATTTTTTTGTCTTACCCCCCCCCCCCCACCTCCTCCAGGGGGTGCTTAACAGAGGATTTGCAGAAAATTTGTTGAAAACTTATGCCATCATACCCTGCTGGTGTATGGTCTCCTTTAAGGGTCAAATAAAGACTAAGTCACACCCATCCTTTAAGGGTATAATAATTATTCAAGCATCCCCTTCTCTTTCATATGGGAGTTGCTATTAGTCCACCCAGCGTGATGGGTAAATAGCTAGAGTTGATTCCTTTCCTTGTCATTCATCTTGTACGTCAGACTCTCTGTGGGGCATACAGAAACTCCTCTAACATGGCACTGTGATGGTCCATAACAGTGATCTCCATTGATCAATAGTTACAAGCTTAGTCAATAGAGTGGAATAGTTATGGAGCCCATCCTTTGTAATGTGTTTTTGTGAACTAATGAAGGTGCACAACAAATTGTTCAATAGCTGACAATTCTATCATTTTGATCTTAGTGACCAAGAAAAGCATCGCATTAAATACTATTCCGTGACAATTTATAAGCAAAAAAACAAAGGATTAATTGTGGAACGTCAGGGAGCTTCCAACATCAACTACAGCATCATATTGTTTACATTTTTTATGTTTGGTGCCTTTCATAACCAGTCTCCTCTACTTAAACTATGGTACAAATAGTAGCTTGTATGTCATTGTACTATATGCTTAAAATAATTAAAATTTTAATAGATGAGGTTTGTTTAGGCTCGATTTCGACCGTCTCCCAAGCATGGTCTTTCATCCTGCCCAAAGAGAGGAGGGGGGATGAGTGCAGGCTCATTTTCCCGAACAGTGGCTGGTAATCGAGCCTAAGGTTTGTTCAGATCTACATTAGATAAAGTGTCATGATAAAGTGTCATGTAAATGGCCCAAAAAGTTCTGCAGTTTTATATAATGAAAAAGATTGATGTAAATTTTTTAAACATTGTATAGTTAATAAAACATTTTGGTTTGCATGACACATGTAATAATGAGTATATTAAAGTATGGTTGCTGGTAACCATCGGAAAAAAAATACATAAATACCAAATGGTTTCAGATTATTCAGAAGTGATCTTGTCATGTATATTTCAAATTATTCAATAAAAGTAATGAGTTCAGAATTGATGCTGACTAATGATATCAGGTTTAAAGAAACAACAGATCTACCAGAATGGCAGGTTTTCTAAGTGGGTGGATGGTGTAAAGGTGATAAAAAAATAGGGGCCATTAGGCCTAGGGGATGCCACACCCTAACAACCCACTGAAAAATGTAGGCTCAAGGAGCGTGCAGAACTGAAGATTCTTAAAGACAGATTTAACCCATGATTTTACAAGAGGTCAAGTGCACAAACGTTTATATCCTGAGAGCTTGCGATATAAAACTAAGGTTTTCTTTGGATAAGTTTGCTGATTCTCGACATCATCACAAAGGAAGTAACCATAGGCTCGGCAAATCTGTCATCAATTATTAAGTCAGTGTGTACCCAATGGAATAATTTTCTCTTTCCTCGATCAGGCTCTTGCATAGTCTGCTACACAGCCGTTTTTAGTGTCATCATGCAGCGCTCCTCACGGCTGCAAAAGAGACCAGCACACACGCCCTTTAGCTAAAATAAATGATGACCTTCCCATTTTGAGAGTAAAAAATGACCGACTGATTACATACTAGCAAAACAAAACAAACCAAAAAAGGAGAAAATGGTTAAAACCAGGCTCGGGATCACGCAGCTCAAACAGTTCAACTTCGAAGATTATTCTTGAGAATGTCAAAATACTTTTAAAGGCCATGTTAGGGTAAAATAGGGGCGGTGCCTCGCGGTGGGGAGGGGGGGGGGGTGCCTCGCATGGGACGTTAGTCCCGTTGCACCTACCCCTTTTGGGTTTTTTTTGCTTCTTTTTTTTTGTGTGTGTGTTTTATTACAAATTTATATTGTATATCACTAGAGGAGCATCCAATAAAGCTGTGGAAAAAAAAATTCCGACAATAAGCATGGTCTTAAAAGGTCCACATAAGACGACTGAAATGGCGACAAACGACACAGAGATGGGTTAAAAGTGTGACAGCAAGGAAGAAAGGAGCAGACACAGTAACAAAAACCGATACGGACATGGGTTTATTTTCAATACGCGATCCGAAACAAAAGGATTTGAAATTCAGACAAGGGACAAACGTACCTCTCCTAAGTTAAAGAGGGCCTCGGTAAAGAAATTGTCGTTCATTTTCCTACGTGAAACCCGACGTATAAGAAAAAAGTCGCAGTACATTTCTTTTGTTTTCACAGTAGAAATGATGTTGTATTGTTAACTAGATTAAATAAAGGCAATTTTCCCCTTTTTTCGCCTATATATATCCCACAAATTAGTGGGTTGGTGCGAAGAAAGTGGTATGCCTGTGCCAACTGTTTCTCCAATATAACAATTATCACTATTGGTCCACTTCACATTAGCCAATAAAAACAGCTGTTATTCCAAACTGAATCAACCAGTTTTTGACATACAAACATGGCGTCTGGTAATCCTCCAAGTTCGCCAACTGGCACTTTGAACAAGAAGGAGGCCGGCAAGCTTGGCTGGGTTGGGACTTTAACGCGGAGAAAGAAAGGACAAGAAGGTAATGTACTATGAGAAGTAGTCGTATCGATAAATACTCTCGTGCGATCGCCGGATCGAGTCACTCACGATCTGCGATCGTACACATGCAATTCTCCTTGCAGGTAAATTGACCGTTGCTGTCTGTTGTAAACCGGTTCAGTTTTGGTTTATGTTTGAGCAATTCGTGCATATGGGTTGTATTTTATATTAAATTTTCAGTAGTTCTTTGGAAAGTTCTTCGTGATGTTGACTTACGTTGTCCTTCGATCGATTAGTTGTGTGAAAATTCCAAAGCAAATTCCATTGCCCCACACCCTTCCTATGCCGATCGATGTCATAGTTTGTTTTCTCATAATGGTTTTCTCCATACCATTATAACAAACATTGTTTGTACCCTGTAGTGTGGAGAATTTAATTGTTGGCACATTGTGAGGGAAATCAGCTGGTTGATTGATCAGTGAACAATCGTTCCATGATTCCTTGATGTGGTCCTTAGGTGGGGGGGTGGGGGGGGGGAGAGAGGGGTCCAACCCACCCACCTCCCATGACTTGCATTCACGGCCTCAGTCATTTTTTTCCTTGGTTTTCTCCCTTTCACACAAACTATTTTTTGTTCCCAAAATCTGATCAAAGATTTTTGTTGTCTTATATCAGAGGGCAAATGTTCCCAGAACAGCCCTGCTATGGTAGAAGCTGAATTGGCTTGTGGCAAGGGAACCAGAAGCTTATTTGAAATCAGAATCTCTAAGGGTAGAGGATAAGTACTCCAAAATTTATCACAGTGATGTGAGGTGATTGCATGTGATTACCCGTACATGTGAGAAAGCCTGTCTGGTACTTTAGCTGTATCTCCAGATCTTGACTGCAGTTGTAAAATAACTTAAGGGAGCTGTGTCACGAAATTCAGCCAAAACTTCAAAACTTTAAGGGAAGGTTAAAATAACATAACAGAAACAACAGATAACACGGATGGGCAAAACTGAAGAAGACTGAAACGGGTTGAAATCATAGGGTTTTTGAAAACTGTTCAGCCTAACAGTTTTTCAAAGCTGATCCCTGCTGCTTGCAACTTCAAAATAATGCTCAGGAGACAAATTTGTTTGTCGAGGATCTCTGATTTTGTCATTTACATGTAATTTCTTTGCTTACTTTAAGTTCCATAGCGATTGAGGGCGAGTAATTGGCAAAATTAAACAAAATGAACTGGACTGCCATGACACAGCCCCTTTAAGCAAACCATTTTAAGGGCCTATTTACATGGAGGTGGGGGACCCCTGGTAGGTGAGGTAACCCGCTTAGGTGGGGTAACTCACCTGTCCATATAATCTCTCATTTTAATTTGATCACGTTTACATGATAGGTGGGGTGACCCGCCAAATGATACCTCACCTACCTGTGGTCCCCCACCTTCATGTAAACAGGCCCTTAACAAAGATTGTTATGATCTTGTTTTGTTCTTGCAGTGAATGAACTTGAGACTGAGGGAAGGCTTGCCATTGAGTCTCCAACATCTCCTGTGACAGTAACTCCAGCCTCATTTCATTTAGGTTAGATATCTCCTTTTTCTCCTAATTAATTTAATATTAGTGCTTAAACCAATCACCAATAAAATAATGGGTGTTGGTAACCCTCCAAGTTAAAGCTTTTGCTTGGTCGCCATTTGGCAACCAACTCTTTTGGGTTAGGAAGACTTTTTTACGAATCAAGTCGTTAGCACCAAAATTTTAGGCGCCATGCATGGCAACCAAAATGGTCACATTTTGGGGGGTTGGTTGGGAAGGCGCCTGGTCAAACTGAAGGAGCTGCAAGTGAGCACAGAAGATAGCCATGACAACCCTGTGAGCAGCAACCTCCAGGCACCGTCACACTTCGGATCTTAGCAAAGAGCTTCAGTTGGTTACTCGCTATAATTGCCTATTGAGGGAGGTTCTGCCCAAACGGGTACCCACTGGAAAATTAAAAAATATATTTGTCCTCATACAGACCTTCTTATTAATTCTTTATAATAAGTTTGGCATTGTTTATGATTTTCAGTGGAAAATGAAGAACGCTCAATGGTGGAGCCTGCCTCTTTAGAAAATGGGAAAGTTAAAGAATTACAAGAGGTGAGTTAATGTACACTGTAACACATTCATGTTTCATCCTTCCATAAAAGCCCATGTGGAACCACATTGCTTCATGTGACTTCATTAAACTTATTTTATTTTGTTTTCTAGTGTTTGTAATTTGTGCAGGGTAAAGAGATGTTTTAATCTTTCAATCTACATCTAAATGGGTCTAATTCAGTTAACAGACCAGCGAATAATGTTAGTGATAATGATAATAACAGTGACACTGATGGTGTAAATAATAACACAATTGAAAACAATAAGGATAACTATAGTGACAGTGATAGTGATAATCATAATTATGACAATGATAACAATAATGATAACTTTGACCAGGGAGTTCCTTGTTAGTTGTATTGCACTGCATATGTCACCCCTTTAACCTGTTCTGTATTAAAGATCTTTTTTTGTGCTAAAAACCTGTATGCAATGCAAGGGAAGCTCAACGGATATCAACTGTGTTGAACAGATGACTTTTAATACCAGTTGTGTTTGCCCTTTTTAAGGTTCTTTTAGATTGGATTAATGATGAGTTGTCAGAACTACGGATTGTTCTTAGAGACATCACAGAAGACTTGTATGATGGTCAGATTCTTGCTATTTTAATGGGTATGTTGATCATCTTCTTTTCTGTGATTGGGACAATAATTATTACTGCATGTACAACAGTATCAGTTAATTATTACAATTGCTCAGGGATGTAGTTTAAAGGAAGAGCTACGTAGGCTTTGTATATTAGTCAAGCTAACTTTTTACGTATCTGTTCCTCTAAAATTCCGGCTCAAGTCTGTTTTCCAGAGAAATTTGAGTTGGTGGTAAGCTCTTTTTTCAGCCAGTCAATTTTGGCCAATGGCCGGCTCTTAGGGACATATCCCTGAATGCTTATAATGGATGTACACAATAGACTCAGACACAACCACTTAAAGGGCTAGGGGACAGGGATTTTCACTGCCTACTGTGAATATTATCCCTGGCTACATGTACTTTCATAGGGAACAGAAAGAATTCCCTCCCTTCGAATATATTGTATATACCTAGCAACTTGAAATGTCAGTGACGGCCCTGGATATAAAGTTTACTAGTAAGTTTTTTAAATTTACGTACTCTTGTCTTTAGAAAAACTTGGGAAAATCAAGCTTGCTGAATTTGAAGAAGTCACTCAGTCAGTGGATAGTCAGGTATGAACAAAGTCACAATTGTGTATGATATTGTACAGCTATAACAAATTAAACTTTAAGTTCATGGTTGTCAATGATTTTCAGCTACATGCATGACAGCTAGTGGTATTTTGCTACAGATGTCATGAACTTGTGTTCAATAAGCTATATTCTGCCTTTATCTGGTATCAAGGAAATTGTAGTTTCTGCACAAAATGCATTGCATTCTGAGCATCCTAGAGCTCATAGGTACATTCAATCATCAGTTCAGTTTCAGCTTTCCATAGTAAAATTTAATACAGCCTAGTACATTTTAAAACTCCCCCTGCATAAAACATATTCCTGGTGTTAATTAATCATATTTTATTATTGCATGTTTTTCAACAATTTTACAGAAAGCCAAGTTGTCTGTTTTACTAGAACAAGTCAACAAACTGCTTGGAATTCCTGATCACAAGGCAAAATGGACAGCAAACAGTAAGTTCATTCTGATGTGTTAAAAAAAATGGTTTTAGAAGCTGACGTCATAACCTTGGCTGCCCTTTTTCAACCTATTCCTCGATGTCTGTAGCCTGAATTTCATAACATCCTAAGGGAGTATGTGACTCAAAGAGTTGTCTGAAATTCAGGCTACGGTATTCAGATCAGATGAAAACACTGTGCCTAGTGTTTGATATATTAAAATTTTCCTTTTACTTATTAATGCTGGAAAGTAACTTACGTTTGTGAAATTACTGCCAAAGGTTTCATTTGAATGGTAACACAATTTATGATTTCAAAAGTTTCCACTCAACAATTTTTTCTCAACAATGTCAAATATGGACACTTAAGGGGGCCATAGAAAGTGTCCCTATTAAGCAGATTGACTTTAGAAAAATGCAAGGGCTTTCCCCAGGGACAAAGAAAACTGATGGCCATTTTCACACTAGAGACGGATTATCCTTCCAAGACGGATAATCCATTGCCAAAATCGGTCAAAATTGATGGAAAATCAGATGGATAAAGTCAGGTGGATTGTCCATCCAAAATTAAGACCATTTCATTTTCAAATTAAGATGTATTATTTGTCTGACACGAATCCAACGGACAACCTGTCTCAGAGGGATAATCTGTCTCTATTGTGAATACAGCCAATGAGGTATCTGTCTGTTTAAGCAGATGTCTGTAAAACAGGGTTTAACTGTATATTGTGATGGGTCTTTTCTCTAGGAATACATGACAAGGACATTGTAGCCATTCTGCATCTGCTGGTTGCCTTGGCACGTCATTTTGAGTGTCCACAGAAACTGCCCAGTGGAGTTACAATAAACACAGTCACTGTGCAGAAAAAAGGGGGCATTCTACTTCCTCAGAAGGTTGTTGAGGAGATAACCGAAGTGACTGAAGGAGAAAAGTAAGTACAGCTGTAGCTAGACATCAAGAGCCATTTGCTTAGAATGTTAGATGTAACTGTTGATGTCTTGTGTTAAAGTGTAAAGTCTTGCTACAGTTTAGGTTTTTTTGAGGCCCTCTTATACTTAAGGGGTACGTATATAACCTTAGTCTGAATTTCAAAACCATTGGTTTCATATCTTGCAAAGGAAGCCATGTCCCTGTTGACATTAATTTTTGTATATTGTATGAGCATATTTTTCATCACTGTTGCAGTTTTAACCCAACTTTTTGTCATTTGTCAAAATTTCATCTCTCGTATGTCGCTGACTCAAGGCCATGTTGCTTGTTGAAATTTTACGCTAATTTTAATGAATGACAGTGACTATTTTTATGACCTTTAAATCACAGAATTTAACTCTCTTTTTTCTTTTTTAGTGATGAAGGAAAGCCTGGTATGTCTTTGCAATTTTTTCTAAACTTCTTTCATAGTTGTGGCTGTTTTCCTTAACTTTTTGTCTGGTCAGTCATTTATATGGGCTCAATTTTTTTCTTGTCATTTCTAGAAAGAGATGCCTTTGATGCACTGTTTGATAATGCACCAGAGAAGCTAAATGTGGTTAAAAAGGTATTATGCAATTAACGTTTTGCAAAATTATGGCAGCCTTTAAAGTACTCTACAGTAAGGTACATGAAGTAATTGCCACAGATTTGCCTCAGTCAAAGCCCATCTATCTGAGCTGAAAACTGTTATTTCTCCCGTATGATTTTTGGTTGAGTTTTGCATACAGTGTGTTTAGAGAATACCCAGTATGTACATATATTGTGCATGAGCTTTCTTTAGGATTTTAGTCGGCTGATGTATAATGGCAGTTTTATTTTTCAAATGTTAATGATGTTTACTTTTTGATGCCATTGCCACTTATGTATTTCCACAAAAACTGCAACTATACGAGGGAGTTAGGGAGTTAATTATATAAAGAGGTCCAAGACAGGTGAAATGCACAATAGGCTGTTTTGCAATATGATGTTATTTTATCGACCGCAATGCCTCAGTGTTTTGCTTTCTCGTGCAAATAAGGGCTTTTATTGTTTTAAACCTTGCTGGGATTTTCAATTATAAATATGAAAGGAAAAATGAAATAGAGTCTGGTATTAGTAACAGTAAAATGACTCTGTTGTGCAAGTGGCCAATTCTGTGAGAAATTGTAAGACATTCAAAAAAAGTATAATATTATGGTAATTACTGACAGCTGATTGATTGATTGATTGATTGATTTGCAGTCTCTGCAGAGTTTTGTTAACAAGCATCTAAGCAAGTTAAGCCTGGAGGTTGACAATATTGACTCACAGGTACTAATCAACTACAGGGCTGTTATTAAGGGCCAAGAAATGGGAATTTTGCCCCGGCTACCAAAATGAATGTGATTTCTGGCTATTTTTTTTGGAAAATAGTTCCAAGTTCGTATAGGATCATTTTTTGAAGAAGTGGGGTAGTGGATCCACTGGATACAGGGAAGGGGGAAGGAGGGGGCGGGGCTACTTTAGAGCACTCATGAAAATTTATCATGACATTGTAGAGGCTCACTACATAGACTTTGGTGGTTTTCACTTTTGGAACTTTAGGATGTACATACTTAAGTAATAAAAGGAACTGCTGCCTTTTAAATAGATTATTAATAGATTAAAATTGTTCATTTTTTTCTTTTTGTTGCCTTAGTTCCATGATGGTGTTTACCTTATCTTTTTGCTGGGGCTTCTTGAAGGTTTCTTTGTACCACTGTACCAGTATTACATCACACCAGCAAACAAAGATCAAAAGGTATGCTGCAGTTAATAATTTAATAGACGTAGGGATTCCATCTCGTGCAGTTCATCAAATGTTGGCAATTTTTTCTGGCGTTGAATTCTAAAGGATTGTTTCAAAGTAGTACAGGAAAAGAAAAAGGAAGTCGTTGCCTTGTGTTCACGTCGTCCACAAAACGTGAAATTAGGCGCTTTCACTTCATAGTCGTGCAGTGACGGCAATGAATTGTGCAAAAAGCTTGATGCATGTGCAAAGTTGTTTTTTTTCCTCATCAAACCTATTCCTTTTTTGCCGTTCTCGTTGCTGTCGCCGTCGTCTTTCCTTAAGCTCCATATTACCTTCTCGATAAAACGTGAAACTAGGCAATTTCTCGTCGTAGTCGAAAAAGAAAAAAAATGTACCAAAACGTTTGATGCACGTGCAAAGTTGTTCTTTTGCTAATATAAACTTACTGCTTTTTTGACATTCTTGTTGCGGTCGCCATCTACCTAAAGATACGAAGCCTTTACAGTGACCTTGTTCTTTAATCTCGCTCCTTACCTGAAGGAAATACCGTGTTTAAATAAAGTTACCATACCATACCATACCTTACTGGTGTTTTCATTTTTCACAACAGCTCCATAATGTTGCTTTAGCTATTGACCTCATGAGAGACAGTGGAATGAAGTTTCATGCCAAACCTGAAGGTAAATGACTTAGTAAAGTAAATTTAAAGGTAAAAGCTATCTCTAAAAAGATGATTTTCGGCTCATAATCTTGGTCGGTTCTTCGGCCCGGAACGCACGCGGAGGGGGGGGGGGGGGGGGGGGGGGGGCGGGGGTTGGCTTTCTATAATGGCCTTTACGGGGAGGTACAATGGTATATAAAAGGGTACGGGGTTGGACCTCGGGGCGGAGCCTTCCCGCATAAATCTTTGTTGAGTGCGCCCCAGGTCTTCAAAACCTCGGTTTAAAGTTTGCTAAACCACTGTAATTATTAGGAGATTAAGCGGGGAGGGTGACCCCAAACAGTGTTCCTCCCACCCCAATTCCCTCCAAGTATTCAGTCCCTTTTTACATCGTGTGGGGGCGGAACAGAAGTTGCAACAGGAAAAAATCTGTGTTAAAAGTGAAAGAAAGAGAACAGTCTCAAGGACAGTCAATGCAAACAATACCAATCTGAATCACAGTCACTTTGAATATTGGCCGCCATCTGAATAACACTGAAGTAAATAAATCACAGGGGTTGTTTACTGTTGACTCAAAGTTTCCGAAAAGTCTGGCTGGAAAGTACATGGAACATGACTCTTTGGGTCTTTCCAGCGGAAAATTTTCAGGAGCAACGGAACATTTGAAAAGCTAGTCGTGTTTTTCCGAACGGAATAGAGCGATTTTCGTATGGCCTTGAAATGAAAACGCGCGAACAAAATAGACACAACAAACGAACGGAAATAGAGCGATTTGATTGGTTTATCGAACGGATACAAACGCTCGTGGCTTTTGGTTGGTTAAGCGAGCGCTCGGGTGAAAAAACTTTATGCCTGAGAACTTTCTAGAAATCAATCGATACTTCGCTTTGACGTCATACTGCAACACCGATGGCCAATCGAGCAATGCCTTCTCCATATTAGGGTTTTCTTTGGCGGGAAAACGAAGAGTCCATGTTTTGATCTTTTCATCCATTGGCTTTTAAAACAAATAAAAAACACTTATACCGAAACCATTTTTTAAGGTCATACGAAAATCGCTCCATTCCAAACGGAAATGTGTGTTCCACTTCTTCAAAGCCATCGTTGATACTAGTTCCAGGCAGTTTCAGTAAATGGTTCACAGTTCAACTGGTATGTACAAACGGTAAACGCGATTCCGAGCCAAATTTTACCAGTCCTGAATTTTGCGTACCGTTTGCCCAAGCCGAGGATCGACTGGTAAACAACCAGGGTAACCCTTTGAACTTTCTTGTTAATGACTGAGCTTTTTTGTTTGTTTGTTTGGGTTTTTTCGCAGATGTCGTTCAAAAGGACCTCAAGTCAACACTCAGAATACTTTACTCGTTGTTCCAGAAATACAAAAATATGAAATAGCTTTTCAGTTGGATTTCCTCTTATGTGTAGGCTGGTGGAACTCCCACAGTGTATGAAATGGACTCAGTCGACAAGGAATTCAATTTCCCGTTGGCCCGTTTCTCGAATCTCCCGGTAATTTACGCCCCCAAAAGCTGGCGTATTTGCATTCAAGATTGAGGTATTTTAAATAGTTTTAAAAGTTATGCAATATAGCTACCAGTTTGCGAAATATAATTGCCTAGTTAGGGGATTAAAACCGACGCAACTATTCTTTAATATATTATTTTGATGTTAGAATATGACTTCGGCCGGTAAAGTAATGGGACTTTCGAGAAACGGGCCCCCGGACCTATAACCCGTCAAGCCTTAATATTGACGTACATCAAATTTCTCCTAACATTTTTACTGCTAGAGCAAACACTAAGGTAGTGAGAGTAACGGAAGTCATTACCTAGGATTACACATCTTGATCGTTAAGAAATTTCTCCTCAACATTACCATAGGTATTGTATGAAGGGTAGTGTAGAGAGTATGACAGCTGATATTAGAGCTTGAACGGCTCATAAGCAAAAACACCTCTGGATAGTTCTAGAAACTCTTTCAAAAAACTCTTATTGTTTAAACCAAGATAGTACAGGCCAGTTTACACGGGCAATATTTCTGGCGGTTTTCAAGCAACTTCGTGGCGTTTTCTTGGCCTTTTTTTTCTGCAATTTTTGCAATCTTTATGCAGTAGTTAGTATAGCGCACACGTACATGATGTGTGATGTCAACACTTTTCCATCTAAAGACCCAGGATAGGTTTCTTTTTAACCTGCGATGAAGCGTTTTTTTAGAAGAGACATTTTTTGAGACGTAATAGAGATATAGGGCAGGCAGGGCATGATCGTAGGTTTCAAAACGGTAGAAAACGGACCTTAAATGATATGAAGAATGTAACTTGCAATTCAGATACTGTAAGTAATATACTCGTTGGCCAAAATGTTTTTTCGTCTTTTTGGCTGTCATATATTGTCAAAACAAAATATTCTTTAATAAGCATGTACATATAAAATATAGTTTTTTGGACAGAAATAAACGCATTGAGCTGTTGATTTTACGTTGTTTCTTCAATGACTTGTATTTTTGGACGATTAACTTTAAAAGCTAGAGGCCTCTCTTCCGAAACCAAACACTTCCAAGCTCCAATTCTATCTAGAACGCACGGATAGCAGCCATTGGCAGCCATTTTCAAATACCCGATCACCAATGTTCTTTTGTAAATTGTAAAACAGACGCTATTACAAGATTTTTAACCGACGTTTCGACAATGCTGCCTTCTTCAGGGTACAAAACTATACACCGTTAAAAAAAACCCGTTTAATTAACTCACGCTTACTCGTCGACGCGCTCTGCCACGTGCGGTATAACAGCGTCAATAAAATTTTCAAATGGGCATTAAGTAACTACACTTCGCAGGGTGTCTGTTAAACCCGGAACACCCGGGGCACTCCCGGAATACTCCGGAACACCCTTAAAACTAGGCAAAAAATTACAAAAACAAAAACTAGGCAAAAAAACTACAAAACCAAAAAAAAAAACTCAAAAATATCATCAATGAATCAATAAATAAGTTTTATCTATAACTGGAAAACGGAGATTGGGTCAGATTGACGAATTCACGCTACTTAACGACTTCTGAAGAGTTTAAGAAAGTAGTCCGTTGCCTTTATATGAATACTTACGGGCCTTTTTGTCTGAAATATAGCTGAAAGAGCCGCTAGTGAAATCAAGAAAAAATAAATAAACCAAATATAAAATGTCTTTTAAATAAATATCATGCCGATTTAATGTCTATCGTGTTTGAGGAGTATCACTTATAAAATTCACTAATTTGATTCTTGTCTTGTTTTCTTTTACTTTGATATATTGTCTTTGATCAAAAAGAAAAATATTCTTGGTTTTAGTGTTTCGTTTTAATTTTGCAGGTAATGCTCCTTTTTTTCTTTCGAGCGGGTAGATTACGTAAACTGCATGTAGAATTCTTTGTTCTGTAGGTATTTCCCGGAAGGGAGGGGGGCACTCCCTTATTTGGCCTTGACGGGTATGTGCCCCTGAACAGGGCACGGTTTTCAGGGTCTTGGACCGGAATCGTTTAAAAAACGTAAAGGTTGGATATAAGCTGTCTAAATTTGTGGTACCAGCAATTTTTTTTAACAAAAAATCCAATTCGACGATGTTCTTTTGAAAATAACTTAGTTCTGTCAGCGAAACGAAACGAATCAGGGTACTAAAATAGGTTCTCTGGTCTTAAGCAGGGTCTGGGTTTGAAGGCCTCGGCGGCAAAACTTTACCCAAACAATCCTTGAGTGTCCCCCTCGGGTACGGTCAACCTCGTCCCCAGGGCTTTTCCCTTGAAAAATGGAAAAGCCCTGGGGACGAGGTTGGGGCACGGTCCGTTATGTTTTTTTGAGATTAGTGAGCCTTAAGACTGACGCGCGATGGTCTGTAGTTCCTCCGTTGGAATAAATATTTTTGTTTTAGTTTAACAGTCTTTGCGACTGTTCTGATGGTTGTTAAGGCAGCTTCCTCGGAAAGAACACCCTCTCTGTCTTGTTGTGCCATGATATACGTTTGAGTGTCCTGGCCTTGAGTATCGCTGACCACCCACTACTGGGAAGCTGTCACGTCCATTTCTATGTCATTTTGAAAATCAAAAACGCCATTTGAGAAATCAAGCGCTATAATAAATTTTGGAAATCAAAGATTACCTGAAAAATCAATATGAAACACTAACACACACACAAAATTTTTTTTCTTTTTAATCAAAGACAAAATATCAAAAACAAAGAAAACAAGACAAGAATCAAAATAAGTGAATTTTATGAGTGATACTCTCGAACACGGTAGATATCAATTTGGGTAGAAGATATTTATTGAAAATATATTAAATCCCTCATGGGCCATCCGCTTGGGACTGGGTCTGGCCCGTCAGAGGGGGTATTCCGGGGAATTCCGGGTGTCCTGAAGGTGTTCCAGGGGTGTTCCGAGGGTGTTCCAGGAGTGTTTCGGGATGTTTCGGGCCTGTTCCGGGTTTTTCCCTAGGGATTTTTATTTATATTTTCAAATTCCCGTTCAGCTGGTGCAAGGTAAAACTCGAAAATAAAACGTCACCTCATGATTGTTATTCTTTATAGGTGATTGGGTCTTCCGAGAATTTTTGGAGTTTGCTTCTGTCTCTCACCCCGCAAAAAATTCTCGTGTCCATACCTCGCACCAGCTGGCGGCTATTTGAATAACCTTGCCAATGAAAATCTTTTGAAGTTGATTTTTATTCAATCGGTTACACTTTAAAACCAGGGCTGAGTCGTTCAAGGCTGGGTTAAGATTAGTGCGTCAAATTTTGATGCAGATATTAGAGCTTTTACGCTTTCTTTTAAAAAGCAAATTCAGTTAAATTCTGTTTGTCAACAATTTGATGGTTGATTGCTCTAAAATGAACAGAGAAAATTTTCGGAGAAAACGAATCTGAACAAATGTAATTGATAGCTTTTATTTGCACTTGTCCACGTACCTTTAAGAGGCCGACCATTTAACTCTTGAGGGGTGGGGTGGGTGATTGCTGGTCATCAAGAATTTTTTTCTAGCAATCTGGTCGGCAGGATATTTCCCTTAAGCTTTCTATTACATTTGTGCTCGTACAAGCGCTTGCAGGAAATTTTTTTTCTAAGCAAGTATGAAGTAGCTGGGGCAAGAGAAGTGTGACGTCACGTTACTATGGAAGCAAAATTTCTGAATCTCGACAATCTTTCTGACGGAGACAGTCTTCTGCACTGTCGAATGATGAAAGAATAGTATGGACTACCGTTTTGTTTCTGAGTGCAATCATTTACAGTAAAGTCATACATATCAATTGCTCCGTTTTTTTTTTCTGCTATATTTGAAGGACCACGGTTTGTTGAAATCCATGGTAACGTGACAGAACGAATTCTCCTCTAAGGAATAAAATGTTTTACATGGTTGTGTGGTTTCCGAATTCCTATACCTACAATCATCGTCAAAAGTGTTGGGAAGGCTGCTACTTCCTACCTCTTTTTCCTTCCTCTCCTGACCCTGGCCCAATGTTGAGCAAAACATGAATGTTTGTTCACGGAATTGTTCTGTTATATCCCATCAATAGAGAGCTTTTTAGATTCCAAAACGAAGACGACTGGGCGCGCTCGAACCAACGTCATTTTGGCGAGAAAAAGTGGTAGCCGTCGTCAGTCTGTTACGAGTTTTAGCGAGAATAGAGAGCTTTAGATTCTAAGACGAGTACGAGATTTTCTCAATACTGAGTAGTGCACCCGCGTGAGCCAGCATCATTTTGGCGGGAAAACGTGGTAGCCGTCGTCATTCTACTACGAGTTTTAGCGCGAATGTCGTGCTGGCGAAAACTCTGAAGATGACTACCGCACAGGTTGTCGAAACGTCAGTCACTGTCAACAACAACAGTCCTATTCAGGACTACGTTCACCCGGACGATCAAACTCAACCTACTTTTGAAATGACTCCTGGGTTCAAACCTTTCACAAGATATCAAATGTTAGAAGTTTTGTCTTTTTGCGATCGGGAAAGCGCGTAACCTTCACTAAAGATAACTGTGCTAACTTTTCTAGTGAAAAATGGTAAAATGAAGCTTTCTGGGAAGTCTATATTTTGAGAAGACGCAAAAAAACTTCAAGTCAAATCTCGTACTCGTAGTCGTGCTCGTGCTAGAATCTAAAGGTCTCTAATGTCGTAGTGGTGAAAATAAGTTATCGAATGTAAGGAGTTTTATCATTTAGCGATCGGGAGGGGGCTTAACCTCCTTCAACGGAAATAAGTTTGCTAACTTTTGTGGTGAAAAAAGGTACAATGAAGCTTTCCGGGGGGTCTATTTTTAGAGAATAGGCGAGAAAACTTAAAATTAAATGTCGTCCTCGAATCTCAAACTCTCTATTGAATAGGGGGGCGGGGGATATTTAGTAACGGAGAAAACTGAACTACTCTTTAGTTGT